GAACAACCGCCTTTGTAGTTCAAGGTCAATATGTATAGACTTAACAAACCTTATGTGGGAACCGTTATTGTGAGCACAAGAGTACGAGCGCTCATAGCGATTAGTAGGCTATTGCGGTTGGAAACTGTGGCAATAAACCGAACCGAAGAAACTACTAAATCTCAAATAGACTTACCACGATCGGCAGCTGTATATGAACTCTCCTTCCTTTTACAGTCATATACATCGTTTAGAGGGTGAGGATATTTAAAGTACTTAACCACTTACCTTTTCAGATCTGCATGGTATTCCGATGACTGCTACAACGATCATTACTACATCTGCCAAACAAAACCATGTGACTCGTCCAAGTACTGTGCCGCTGGACTTGGCAATGACGATTCTGATAGCTGAAAGAACAAGGAATGAACGAATTTAGTCTAAGCATCATTTAGCAAGCAAACATTCTGTGAAAATCTGCATGTTCACAGGAACTTTGAAAAAACGAAAGTGTTAAAGCCGTTTGGGCCGTTATGGGTGATGTCTCTTTTTTTCTAACAGATATATCCTATAAAATCTTGAAAGCACAGATCACTGGAAGGATATTCCAGGCTTGAAAAACCTGTGGTCAAGCCGATGGTATTAGGCCAAATCAGCAGCTAATTCGTTCTCTACAATCCCTCGCAAGAAATCATCCAAATATGTACCCTTTCTCCAAACTACCCGTCTTCTGAATTCTTCCCAACTGGGCAGTCCAACAAGCACTTGCTTTTTTAATAGGTTTGTCATCGAAGTATGGAGCTGGAGGTTGTCCGCTTGGCCATCGTGGCACCACCGAAAACTAGCAAAGCCTTGGGAAGAGAGTACGAATAAAAAATGAAGATCACGTTGTCGATTGACCTCGTTGTTCAATCGAAAACAAAGTTTGAAATGTCATCACTCTTGTCGACTATGCACCCTTACACATGGGTGTGAAATTCAACCTAAAAAACTTAATATGTATTTGAATAACATGGAGTAAGAACTTCCGAACATGTGTCATATTATTTCAAAACGCGCGCTCTTTCAATAGCTTTCGTACCTCTCGTGGAAACTTGGATGTGCTCCAACTCCAACTGCGCTCCAACTTAAAAATGAAATATAAATGTCCGGCTTCACAATGCACAACTTTCATAACCCTACCAGTGTTTCTTCGGACTTGGGAATTCTACAAAAAAAGAGAAATAACAAAACGATTCTTTATAAAGTAAGAGTGGCATGGATAAGGCATATCGAAACTTTTGGAGGGCAGAATCAGCGTCCACAGCAATGGCGTCAAGACGCCGGCACTATGAACGCGCCCATTGGCCGCTCTCAGACTTCGACGACCGTCCGTCCGACCGACGCGTGCGTGCTGCGACGGCGGCCGCTAGAGTAGTGCTGACAGCACAGGCACGTGACCTATTGTTGTCAACAACGGTCAGACGCCGCCGTCGCAGCACGCACGCGTCGGACGGACGGATGAATCATTGAGGTCTGAGGGCAGCCATTGGCCGACTTTCACTTTCAGACTTCGACGACGGTCCTACCGTCCGTTCAACGCGTGCGCGACGGCGGTCGCTTGCGTGCTGCGACGACGGCGCTAGAGTAGCGTTGACAGCGCTGGCACGTGATCTACTGTTGTCAACAACGGTCAGGCGCCGATGTCGCTGCACGCACGCAACCGCCGTCGCGCACGAGTTGAACGGAGGGTCAGACGGACGGTCATATGAATCGTTGAGGTCTGAAAGCAGGTCGAAAGGTCCCATATTGAGACGACGGGTTCTCCCATACTTCATGTTGTTAGTAGTTGGTTTTGTTGTGTACAATGTATGTTATGTAATATAATAGTTGCTACAAGGAAATGTTGGTTCGGGCCAACGTGGTGAAAATGTCTACCCGAGCGACAGGTTAGAAAGGGATAGCAGCAGATGAAAATTTTGGCTCGTGCCCACTTTATTTTAAGACAACAATTATGTCCACCTAACATGAAGACAATCCAGATAAAATGACCCGTCTTAGCAGCACTACCCATACATATCGGAAACTGCTGCAGCATTGGAACATGAAGTCTTTTGAAAGAAAAACACCCCGCACACGTTACAAAAACAAGAATTCAAACGGGACCTTGGTCCTACAGTCGTTCGCTCTAGGATCCTAGCCCGAACTGGTAGCATGGTGTGATGCAGCGCAGCCAGGTGGCAACCATCCACCAGTATTTTTACCCTGCTCTTTTTTTTTTTGACGTCGGGATGGATCCAAGGTGTGCGAATTCTCTATATCGTCAAAAGAATTATGAAGTTGGTATTGTTCTGCGTCTAATTCATTTCATTCTACCAAAAGATTCCTGTAGGAACAGGGATTCCCGCACAGAACATTCATTCCTTAATCGATAAACAACAGAGAATCATAATCAGATAAAAGCGAACATACGCAATTCTTCAACTTTCATCTGAGAGATAATAAAAATCTTCATTCTTCAGGGAATATTTGCAAAACATAATAAAGTGCTCTGAGACAAACATAAGAAAGTAGGAGAACATGCATCAAACGAGACCTTCTTTAGAGGTAATACGAGAGATACCAGATAGTATCAAGAGAAAATCATTCGACCAAAAATTGATTCAAAATCGAGAATATCGCTAAGCGCAAGCCATCGGTCACAAAGTGGCAGAATTTAAGAAAAGTGTACCTTCAAATATGCAAGTACAATGAACTTGAAGAAAGGTTAAAACAACATCCACATGATCTACATCTCGCGAAGAAGGGGATGTGGACGATATGGACGAGCAGTCTCATTGAAATTGGTAGAAGTAGCAGAATAATCCGTCTCATAGGAATAGTAAGGACCGTAAGCGTAGCTCGGTCCAGCAGCCCCACTAGCAGGATAATGTGCAGAATCTACATAAAAAACAGGTGCATACTGCTGTTGAGAAGGGACGTACCGTAATCCTCGAGCGTATTCCAATGCAGTTGAACGCTCGTATTGACAATTTTGTAGATAGGGATCATAATCATAGTAGTCTTGCTGACGAACATCAAACTGATGATAATTACGAGAATCTGGCATAAGACGATGATAAGTATGATCCAATAGCTCGTCGACAGGTTCAGTCTTAGGAACGTGGAGACATTGCTGTCCATTCGTGACTTCATCGAAGCTGCCGTTAACCCAGTTAGTGGAGTCGCCTTCGGGATAGTATCTTTCCCAACTAGGAGATGCTCTTCCTGACGGTTCATCGCGTGGCGGAGGGCTCTAAATGTTATGACTGACTGATCAAATAATGACAACCGAGACAAGAAACTTTTTTTCTGAAGGAAACGTTTACCCATGACTTCCCCTTGACTGGTAATAATTTGAGGCAGAAAAAAATGAATAATGAGTCTATCTGTGCCAGGAATGACAAAAACAGAGCAAGTGACCGATTACATATCGAACGTGCATAACTGTTGGTGAAAATCTGGTTTTGCGACATAGCCACAAACCTAAAAGGGAAAGAGCTTACCAAGCTGGCCACCAAGAGCCAAGAGTTGGTGGGCTAGCCATTGGCCAACCTGATTCCTCAGAAGGAAGCGTGCTTCTCACTTTAGATACGAGCACAAAATCCTCTATGATATTTAACGGTCGAAACATTCGAAAGCTCACTGGGATCCTTCTTTGAATAGATCATCAAACAAAAAGTGCCTTACAGATAAACAGAGGATCAAGATTTGAGCGATTAAAAGATCTTCACACAAACGCAAAAAATGCTTCTGTTTAAATTCAACTTGCCGTTTCTAAAATTACTACAATAAAAAACAAAAAGAACAAGTCAAAGACAAGGTCACTGCAGTTGAAATAGAAGAAGAAAGACTTAATAAGATAACGCAACATAAACGTAAGCATAGGATATATTTATTAGAAATGCGTAGAACATAAAATAAACAACATAGAAGTTTGAAAGGCACAGAATTCAAGGTTCGCCATTGAACGTACATCTACAGGTAGAATTTGACATAGACTATAAATGGCTAAAATACATGGTTATATAAATGTCTCGAGACGTGGGGCAAGAATCCATCCAGGGCAATTTCAGCACAATTAAAATAACTTGTAGTCAGTACCATTAGAAGGAGAAAACAAAGTGAGCGACGCTGTTCAGGGTCATGGCAAGGGGAGAGGGATCATGAAGAGATAGCACAATTGAGACAGGGTTAGGTTGGCCCTCATAATCCGATAAAGTTGAATGTGGGTCATGATTTATTACTTCTGTACTTCAAGACACCCTCATCTAAGCTTCACAAAGAAAGTTGGTAAACATGCGTTTGCGTTCTTCATGACATCTAGGGCATGGCAACATAAATTTGATTAAGAACAATATGCGATAAACATGTAGAAAAAAGGACTGAAGACGATGAAAGAAAAGCGATGAGTGATAAGTTTACAGAGTAAAATCTATACTTAAAAATTACTGTAAGAAACAATATTGAAGAAGGCGTGAAGCAAAGACATGCCAATCATATAAGGCAGTAAAGTTATCACTTGCTCCGTTCCTCATAATACCACTGTTACGATACTTCATGACATACAGATCCTTTGCGTGCGCAGAGCGTTTCGCCATGATCATGAGGTTTTCATTAGATAGTATGTCATCACACTCTCCACTTTTCCTGTTCCTCAGGGCGAACTGAGCACGAATCGTCAAAGCCCAGAAAGTCTGAGTGCGTTCCAGCCCTATACCGCGTTGGGCATTCTGCTAAGCAATGTCTCTCACAAGAACAGAACATGCAAGGACGATATTCAGCTGCTGGAATAGGCAAAAGTGGTCGCGGCACAGCGGATGCCAATGAGGCAGTGCTTCTCCCCACTTCTGAACCATCATTCCGCTCGACTTTGTTTAGATTGAATCGACCTCCGTACAACGTCTTCCTCACTATACGTTTACGTCTGCGATGTTGTAGAAGGATTGACGTAGACACATTGTCAGCCTTAAGTATGTTAAAGGGTACTGATGAATACTAATAACGTACACCTCGAATAAAAAACCATTTTCGTGAACGTCTTTAGCTGGGACGGGATTTTCACGTTGTTGAAATTGATCATCAATAAAGAAGTAAAATCTCTGATGCTGCATGGGCGCCAGAAAAAAATAACCAAAATTTAGTGAAGAAAAAAAAANAAAAAAAAACATTCACAAGTTTGCTTATAAAAGCTGTGAAAGAAACCGTGAAGATTCGGCTCTGAACCTGGCTCATATATCCTGAAGGAAGGTTTTTGACAGATGAAACATCACTCGCATTAATACTTCTATCAGATACCCGCTGTGAGCAGTTCAGCTAGCTGACGCTCGGTACAGATCCTTATTAACAAAAATTGCACGTCGTGCAAAGAAAATGAGAAAGAGAATTTCTCTAAAGAAGAGTTGGTTCATCGAACAAACGAACTAGAAGTAAACCTCTCAGAATCACTGCTTCACTAGCAAAAGCAATCGAATGTATATGAAAATCGGGAGAGTGGGCAACGATAAGAAAGAGTTTTGGCTTAGACAACCAGAAGTATTCGAAAATCTCCTTACTTCAAAGCTTCACCAAACACTCTTAACTCTGTTCATTCCCGCGAACAAATCTGGAGTGAAGAGTGGCAATGGAGTAAACTATGAAACACACCTTTGCGAGTGGTTTGAGTTCCACTCTTTCAACGCAACCACTTTGAAACCGACCATCAACCTGAAACAGTTCAAAAAATCAAAAAATCAATCCTTTTGCTTTAGTAATGTAGTGCTATGAGTTAGAAGCCCATCACATATTTCATTTCCATTCTTACATTACTGACTTTTGTCTATCTATTCATATCTGCATCTATTTGGCTTAAGCATGCCGATAGGATAGGGTCTGATGCTACGTAAGGTTCCATCCTTTCTCTCTCGCTCATAGACAGCATTACGCAGGGCATTCTATATAGTAATGACTGTCTCAAAACATGGAACTAACAAACAATGTTAAAAGAAAACTTACCCAACAAGGATAAGGTGGTGGAACAACTCGCCGCGGTGGTTCGAAAGGAATGGATGCGAACAACTCGCGAAAATCTCTGGGTTTCTTTGTCTGATATAATTCAAGAATATGATTTTACTTCGAAGCCAACAAAGTAAAACGATTCAAATTGTCTCATACCAAACTAGTCGAAGGCTTCGTCACAACGGAGCTCTCCTTCTTGGATGCCTAGAATTGAATGAATAGAAAATAAGGTAGGAAAAGTTTATTTATTTACTCATTCATTTATTTGTTTATTAACTGCACTCATGGTGCACCACAGCAATGGGGCAAGTTTGTCAGAATGCTCAAAAATAGCGAAGCAAATCATAGAAAAGAAACANTAAAATTTTCAAAAAAAAATATATCTAATAAAAAATCGTCAATGAAAATTCACAAGCTGAACTCATGCGCATCATAGTGGAAATATTTTCTATGATACCATATCGTAGCGAAATTATTTTCTACGGCAGCATCAAAAGTATATTTAATCCTCACTTACCGTAATATCGGACGCTTTCGGAACTTCTTTTTTGGGCACCTGAATTTAGGCTTATGAGCGTAGACTGAGGCGGGATCAAATTTTGTGTTGATTATCCGCAACCTCTTAGCCCACTTGCGTTCGAATAAAAACTTACAAGTTTTGGAAGCGGAGGAGGTACAGGGCGCGTTTCAAACGGACGGCTTGAAGTAGGTTTCTGCAGCGGCTGCGAGGATCTAGGCTTCATTGACAATGGGCGTACAGATTTCTAAAAAAAAATCACATCCACATTAAATAAAAGAGTTTGTAGAAAAAACAAACAAAGATAAACACTCCGCATAATTGGCCTCGTTAAAAAAGTAACCAAATCCATCAGTCATAATCGTAATCTCCGGACACTGTCTGAGCTACAACGAATGAACGTGAACACTAAAATCAAATACAAATACCGTCAACTGACGTTTTGTGGTAGACGGGTGACACCATAAATGACCGCCACCTGTCAGGAGGGTACAGACAGCTGGAGTATACTAAAGTCTCAAGGAAAACTGACGAAATAATAAGACAAATGAACATTAAAAAGAAAACCTTACAACACAAACTCTACTGAGGTTATGCAAGATAACGGTGAAGGAAAAAGAGAGAGCCATACAATAAATCGAGCCATAGAGATTCATTTTCGAACTTTTACCTATTATTTCATGAAAACCAACAGTCCGTAACAGCATTTCGCTCGAGCTGTGGCATGAAACTCGATAGCAATAAGAAATCTGAGGAAAAATACTCGAGAAGGGCTATATGCTATGGAAGTGGTATAAAAGAACATGGAACATGGAAGAGGAAGGGACTGGGGGAGAATATGACCTCGCTCAGAAACAGGCTAGAGTCCCGTCTATCCCTAGGATATAGGCATTATTCTTACGATAGGTGGTGAAATCTTAGAAACAAGAAATTCGAACTAGAGCTTACGTTTGTTTACCTGCTGAGAAATATGTAGGACCAGCCGTATCCAGCCAAGAGGTGACTTGTTCTGTGATACAGAGTCATAAGAGAGTATAGGAAGACGCCGTTTGGATTCAAAGAAAGTCGAAGGAATTGAGAGGAATATCGCGAAGGAGCAATGTTCAGCTGATCACTTCCACAGAGCTAACTGTCGCTCAGGAAACCAAATCACGGCATTGTTCAAAGGGATAAAGTCTCAATAGCAGAATGAGCCAGGAAAGGGAAGTTCGATATCTTAAACGTGAGACTACTAACGCGAACGATCCAATCAAAACGGCTCGACTCACTTGTCCTTCCTGAACAGGTTCGAGTGGAATAACGCGTGGTTGCGACTTCCTTGCCTCTTTTTTGAGAATGGGCTTTTCGGTCTGAAATCGTCCATTATTTTCTTCTGTGCTGTGCAGAAGTACGGAACGTCTCAAACTGATGAGTAAAGGCATGTAATGACGCTTCCAAGGCGATAGCGGGAATAATTTTGGGCTGTCTCAATGAATGTACGAAACATCTGCTCTAAACCCGCGACCTCGTATCCCTGACATGTTTGGCATACATAGCTAACGAGCAAAAGAACTGTAGGTAAGGTTGTAGGGAAATGGAATTGGATAAAACACATTTTCACGTAACCCAAGCAGATGAACATTAACTTCCATCGAAATATACATGCTGTAGTCTATGAGAACAAAAGGAAAAATCATGTAGAACCCCCAGCTAAACCTTCAGCAACCTCTCACTCTCTTCCTTTTTCCATAATTAATCAAACTCACCGGCTCCTGCGGTACAGAGGAAGCGTGATGCGATTCTATCTTCTTGGACTTCTTTTTGTTGCAGAGACTTTTGATCTAAAATTCAAGCAGTAGCTAGTGTTGGTAGTGCTGCAGTATGGTAAATCCACATGAACGTAATGCACTTCAAAAAGGAGTCCGCCTCCAGCCCAAATGGATCAGTCTATTTGGAGCGAAAGCGGGCTTGAGGCAGAAAGAATGAAGAAAACAGTGGACAGGCAGCAGTGTGTGGTGATGTCGCGTATGTGCCACAAGAAGGAGAAGATATACACATTAAAGGGTCAAGTAGGAGGTATGAAACTATCAAGAAAGCTCGCAGTCAAAGGTTAGCGAAGTTCTATTTAGGCGTGTTTACAGCTCTAGAGATGTTTTCTTCCCAGGGAGAGTACGGAGAGGATGGGGCTGGATAGATGTCACCGCTAAATAACCACAGTTGCTGAAATATAACTCAATGACTCACCTGTTTGACTGACATCAATCGCTTGGATTTCAACCAACGATGCTTGATCGCAAGGCCGGCAGCAATCTTTTTCTTCTATAAGCAACACTTCTAATCATATTCAAATACATTTTGTTCAGATATTTCTGAGCAGAGTGCACGCTTTGGAGAACCCGTTCAGTTCCACCTACTCACCAGTCAGCACTTCATGTCTTACAAAGTAAGACTGGTCAGAGGAGCTTGGTTTACCAAATGGATGGCCCTAGCAAAGGCAGCGAAAGTGATTAAACGGAAAACTGAGCAGTTAAAAGAAATAATAAGGGGAATCTAAGCTCCATATAGCAAACTCAAGGAAGTTCGTTTTTGATTCGCCCTTTCAATTCAGCAATACCGATTAATGAGTAAAAAGATCTGTCTTGAAAAGCTAATTGAAGGGAAGCAAAAATCTCCTTACCTTCTTAATAATTTCCTTCAGACGCTCATCTTGAGAAGTTCCCATCTAAACAAAAACAATAAGTAGCTATAACTGCTCAAAAGCTGCTTTTACTACAATATGGGGCTTCTTCTCACCTTGGCACCTCGTTCGGGAAGCGACCGTGCAGGAATAATGAGCCGACGCCAACCAGCTAACCAATCGGAAGCCGGCTGCCGCTGAACAAAAAACTGCACACTTACAAATCTACCGTAATCCCACGTCCACCACTGTTTTTTAGAGTAACAACTTGCAAAGTTACTGCTGTTTTCGTGACATAAGAAACCTATGCTTTCTTCGATGTCAGCATTCTTGGGATGCGATCAAGGAGTAAATGATGTGACTGGCTGGCTCATCCATTAAGCCTGAAGAGACCAGTGATGATTATGCTGTCGTTGTGCTCAAGCTAATTAAAGTCACGATATCTTGAAGAGGCATAGGCTAACGCGGTAGACTGAGCTTCACAAAAATGGATGGACGTCTCAAGACTTGCGATTCCACATGGGTGAAGACTAGGAGCCAGACGAAGCAACGCAGGCGTGCCACTAGATAAGGCACTAATTAGAAATCGCTCCTGACGAACTTGGGGTTCTCTGAGACACCCGAGCCTTCTGAAAAAGGAGCTCAGCATAGAGAATTTCGGTTTAGCTATCAACTGTGTTGAGAGTCTTGGACGAGATATTTGTCTCAAAGCTAAGGCACAGCTCACGATAATTCTCAGGAAGCTAATTTAAATGAAGTAATGAAGTGCGTGGTGCGGAATAGTACAAAAATGGCGAAGAAGTCGCAAAAATCAGTGGATTTATAAGAATATAAGGCTTCAAAAAACTTGTACGATGAGCGGGGGGGGGGGTGTACGAGTTATGTGTCTGTAATCGACTGAGTGTCTTCCACGTAAACGTACTATTCGTCAGTGTTCTAACGCTTCATTGTGAATGGTGCAGTCATAATAAGGCCATCATAACACGGCCGCTTCTGGGTGTTTATGCCGGCCAAGCCGCTTTTGGAACCCTTATAAAGCCCTGTCGAGGTCGTTTTTCGACCCGGAAATGTCATACTGACTCTTCTTGAAGGCTACAAATTTATCCTGAGGAGAAATCTCGGAGACCATTTTTATCGTGAACTGTGCCTGGTTACAGCAATACCACCAACCAAGTAAATGATACCAATGTACCACTTCAAAAGCTGACAAGATTGTTTTCGTAGTGTACTCAATGTAGATGGTTATTTTGTCCATCTTCGAACGAATAGAGCACCGAAACTTGTTCCACTTTATTTTACTGATCCCATAATAACTAATATCAACAGTTGAGAATAATTAACACGTCGTTAATAGTAACATACAACAAAACTTTAAGAATGGAAAATCAAAGTATACTGCAAGATTATGAAAGAACCACTGAGTGACAAAGTAACTAATGAAGCCCAAATTGCTACAACCCCTTCAGATAACCCTCAGCACGAGAACGCCGTTTCTCTCTGATCATTAGGGTTTTCTTGATATCACCAGAAAGAAAACGAATAAGGCGAATCTGAAGAATGTCTTTGCGAAGATTGTAACCTTTCTTACGTCGACTTTGACCACGTTTTTTCTGAAGTGCCAGATTCAGTATACGAGACATCATCTTCTTACGAGTCACTTCGTCTTCCAGCTGGAATTAATCAGAAATATTAAAAACGGTGGTAGTAAAATAAGACATGACCGATCCTACAGTTGAAAAATGATCCAAATTTTTAAAAGCCCTTATCTATAATATTAATTTTTATATTTATATTATGATAACCAGCTTTTCAGAATAAGTTTGAATTTGAAAGCTTAACAAATTTCTGCTTGACTTTGACTCCCCGCCCTATACTCTTGAATGAATTAACGTAGATTAGTAACTGAAAAATTCATGGGGGAGTCTACGAAAAGAACTACTCAAAAGGAAAAAATAGACTTTAATCATCAATACGGTGTAGTTTTTGGTCCAGTGATAGAATTCTATGACACAAACCTCATCATCAAACGGCTCAGCCAGATCGTTGAAGAAATTCCGAGCTGACTCAATCACTTCTCCTACTCGGAATGGAAAACGAATGCGAGGCGCATCCTGAAGTGAAAAATTGATAGACCAGAGAATATTCATAACTTGAAGGGCGTCTTTCAGACTTATTCCCGAAAAAATGCACAAGTCCAATTTTCAGCTGCGGGGGTGAGTAATTATGAAAGGTGGTATTGATAGGAAAAATCAAAACAACTCAAAAAGAGAAGTGATAAGCAATAAAGAATAGATAGTGCTCCAAAATTAAAATATAGTATATTTCAAAACCTAAATATATGTGAAATGAAACTTACCATCAGCTCAGCCCCTTCCTCGAATACAGAGTCACAAGCCGGTTGATCAGTCCTGCAATTCAGGAGCAGACAGCAACAACATCATCCTTTTATTTATAACGGCCAGAGATCTGGCCAAAGGGATAACCTGCGGATAATTAGGTGGCAGGCAAATAGCCGTGATCATGTGTAAAAATGCCGTTAGATTGTTTTCCACATGACCTGTGCTCAAGGAAGCGGCAGACTTTCGCCATTCCTCTTTGAGTGTATCTGCATTTTCGTAATAATGAGCTTGAATTTGGGGCTGCACTAGCCTTGCCGAATGCGCCAAACCCCTTTTCTAAGCTAAAAATCCAAGAGAAGTTTGAAAGAGTGTAGGAACTACATGAAGCGGTACAAAAGCTTACAGTCAAAGCGTTATTTCCACAGCTTGATACAAATCAGGACAACGAAACGAAACATTGTAATGAATTCCTACCCTAAACCATCTGCAAGAAACAGTAACCGTCTGATTTCGACTGAAAACTGAGCGCTATACATAATTCGAGAGGTTTTTTTTTTGAGCATGAGGCGTGGGCGAGATGATTTTCCAGTCAACGCCCTATCTTACATCCTTTTTCACAATTTCACGTATAGGGTGAGACGAAGGAACGGAAAGTTGACGCAGGCAGAGGATAGAGATATGTGGGAAAAGAAAACAAAGCTGGGCAACACAACAACACGATGTTACAAGAGATAGATTACGGTAAGGAGAGTAGGGGCAAGCAGCTTCGATATGAAGAGAGGAAAATTCAGTACAGAGGACGTCAACACAACAAAGGATAATCAATCAGTTAGGCATTTTGAGAACGAGTGAAAAATGAAGAGAAACACAAATAAGGGATCAAAGGTTCAGAAAAAGATACGGTAGAAGACAAACGATACAGAGAAAAGTGGATGTGCGTGGAAGTGGGGACCCACCACACACAGCGTCTTAAATTGACGGTCTTGGTGAGCTAATAGTATCCCTGATGGCCTTGCTGGCTCCTTCTTTGTTGAGAGATTCTATAAGGGCTATCAAAACTAACAACGGTAAGCTCACGATGCCGAGCTTAGTTTGTATTAGTTCGTGTGCACACAATTAAAGTATTACACTATCTGACATATTTATTCGTCTAAGCCAATGTCGAGCAATAGTTATCAGCACAGCATGGAACAGTTTGGCAGACATACTCGTAGTCGTCGTAGCAGTCATCATTGAACCAACCAAAGCTAAGGCAAATCAGTAATATTTTTCTACGTTTTCAACGACATCACATCTAGGTCACCTACTGCACACTTGTCTTCACAAGCAGCATCGAATTGCTTTATAATTAGTATTTGAGCGTACCTGAATCCAGAATACTGGTACATGTAGACACAGTCACCAGCTGCCGCGCTTGGATATCCTGGAGCCCACATCTGATAATCATTTGATTGAAGCTGAAAACCGAAGAGACTTATGAAGTAACGGCGTTACAACAAGTTTCAAAGGGTGCAAAAGCCTTCAAAACGAAATTTATCCCACATAGGTGCCATCAGGCCAGGACCAGTATCCTCCACTGTCTCTCTGAAGACCAATCCAAAACTTTGTTTTTGATGGGAATACTGAAATTCGAAAAGGTATGCTCAATAACGGGGATAGCTGAGCCAACAATGTTCTTCTTGAAGAATTAAACCTGAAAAATAACTAGAAAATAAAACAAAAACTTTGCAGCAAAACAACAACTGATACGCTGAATCAACTATTCAGAGGTGTAGGGACTGGAAAATCTTCTTGCACCCGTCTTGTAGTGAATTTTGTAGTGAATTTTCATAGAGATGCCGTGCAAAGTAACACAGGTTACTGCTATATTGAGTTCCCTCAACTGTTTTCCTCTTCGGGCTTCTTGCATTTCCCAATAGAATGCCCTCAGTTACTTGCTTTCTTCACGCCCTTCGTGACTCAGCAATTTGTTAGCTCCGCTCTTCCGACATAAGCGCCTTCTTGATCAGGCAGTGGTCGACCTAAGCATAGACGTGTCAGCTGCTGTTTTGTAGTCAAATGGACTACACAACGTTTCTAACATCCATACTTGCATCTCGGCTAGAGCTCATCTGCATGTGCATTCTTCCTCATTACTGTAAATATTACAACTGAGTAGTTGATTAATGTAAGGAGCGCTATCCATCGTTTCAGAGCACTGCAGGCCTGATATTCTGCACCTTCCGAGAGCATGGAGAAGAATATCGATGATGGATTACTGCGCATGCCTGTGCACTACCTTGTTGCTCCTTGAGCAGGCTGTTTTTGAATGGCTTCCTCGAAACGAACTCAACTCTCGCCTAATATTACATAATCTTTGGCAACTTACGTGCGCCCACGAATAATGATTTGTCGCGACTTTGAACGTTGGCAAGAACTCCGTTATGTTGCTTACGGCAGTTGTTCGCTGCTAGCATCTAAATCCAAAAAAGATTTAGTACATAATTAGTTTCAAACAAAAGCATCCTATATGCAAGCCCTGAGCCAAGTTTTTAAACAAATTCATAAGATCTCATTAGTTTGACAAGTTTGCATAGGGTAAGAATACTTTTTGGCCGGTTCGATCAATACTACCAAACCACATCAGAAACGCTGGAACAGATCCATACTCTGCAAGTATAGCTCAGAATGGAACCGAAACAAAGTCAACGGCCTCAGCGGCTGACCGTGTCAGTAGTCTCAGCCTCGGTATTTTGTCCATACATGGTTGACTAAGCGTCTTGCCTCATTTCGTCCTTTCTATCTTTTTTTTGTAGTTCGCCTTTCCACAGCCTCTCTCAGAGCATTATTTAGAAATATGTAAACAAGAGGAGAGAGGAGAGGAAGATGTCCCAAAAAGAGAGGCAATATTGCCGATCAGTTAGCAGTTGCTTAATGAGGAAATTATCAGAGACCATTGGTGCTTGCACGACGTATACGAAATTACACTCATTTCAATCAAGTGATATGGCTCTATGTTTCACAGTATCAGTCATATACGCACTGAAACGCTGCAAATTTCCGCTCGGGAAAAGTTAGGATGACGACATGACCCAGACTAACTCAGTAAAAGATTTACAATTATATAGACAGCCAAGCCGGCAATAGGTAACAGTATACACGGATAGTGATGGAGCGGCAAAAAAATGGCAGCATTTCTTGCAGCCGCGGGAGTGGGTAAAGACTTATTGGTAAGTCAAGCATTTGTTGCAGCCGCGGGAGTGGGTACAGACTTACTGGTAAGTCAAATTATTTCCCTTTTTCAGTGCCCAAAACACAAAGGTTGCAGTGGGTCAAATTATAAGTAAAATGTTTAGAAGACTAGAGTACTGGATCAGTGAAGGCTGCCCACACAAATCTGAGTAGCGCCAAGTACACATTCGAAAGCCAGTATATTTTGCGAAGGAAGCCAAACTTATATTGTTTTCAAGCAAAAAGTATTTGGTGATACTGCGATTGAAGTCGTTAGAAACCTGTAAATTTTCTCAATAATTCGAAAATTGTTAGGAATACCTGTATAGCTGTCAGTGGTACAGTCCTATAGCAACCTCCGTGTGGTACGGTATCACCCATCGTGTAAGGGTCGTAATTTGTTGGGCAAAAACAGTTTGCTGTAACCTTTTTTTCTTTTTTTTTNTTTTTTTTTCATGCGAAATAAGTCTGAAGAAGTTGCACTTACCTTTGCAGAACGCTTGTCTAACCTCCTCGTTGGTGAGGTTGCCGTAGCGGTTCGTAAATTGGTATGGCCCTGGGCTTGCAAGACTACCAAGCAAAGGTACAGCAGCGCCGTGTTCTTGTACATACTCTAAATTGCTATGGATATGCGTAACAAGGAAAGTGAGATCGGCAATTTGAAAAAAGTAATGAAATAGTTGTTGGATCATCAATTAACTAGAGTATTTCTCTAACGGAACGTGGACTTACAAGAAATGGGAATGTGGCCCGCCGGCTCAATCGCAGAATGTTTTAGCGATATCTAAAACTTATGCCGCCAGCTTACAGCGGGCGACCTACTATCAAGTTTGCCCACGTATTCGACAGTCAAAACTATAGTTTAAAACAATTCTTGTAAAAACCAAGTTTGAGCTGAACTATAGAGGTGTCGTTGAGAACTTGCTGTTCAAAACCATCGCAAAGAGAGAAAAACATCATCTGACCCGTGAAATATGTGGCTATATAAGGCTTTACTTACAATAACAAATGGTTGAAAAGCAAGGATAATGCTATGCTAGGAAAAAGCTGATTTAATGGCTGACAGCCCTATGCTGTCAAAATCGATGCGACAGATATCTGCACCTTCCCACCCTTGAGGCCTGATGTGGTACGGTGCGAACTTGAGAATTCGAAGAAATCCGAAGGACACAAGAATTTGAAGTTGGTAACTTATGCCTACCTCACTTTATCCCATCTGACATTCCCGACTATGATTAACATAAATGTAGCCCTACCAGAAATATGAATTTCGTGAGGTTTGGATGAATTTGAAAAACACTCACCTACTGTAATAATAATACCGCCACTCTCTTTGAACGTATTTGCTGCTTTTGTAGGGTCGTTGTCTTTTCCAGTCCTGGAAATATATCCTATAAGAACGGAATGAAGCATTTCACATAGAACTTGTTGTTTTTGATCTCGCGGACAGCTTTTTGATCTCGCTGAAAAAACAGCTAAACTCACTCGAATGCTGACGCCACAATGACAATAACCTTCTGCGCATTCGCTCTATGTTCTGCACTATTGAATCGATCAGTAGCTAGTTGAATACCCCTGCAAAGACAGGAGTTTTCAGTGGTCAACTACAAATTACTAAGCACGGAAGAAGCTCAGAACTAGATGAGACTGTCAAATACAACCTATTGAGAGCTGCAAATGGCACGGTCAGTTATATTCTGCCTACCCTCGTCCACATTGATGCGATTATGCTTTGATTTATAAGGATGATAATAATGTAAAATACGTGTGTAAAAGACGAAAATGAGAAATTACGAGAGATTAGCTTCACAGGGTCCAACTACACTTCTGCACCTATATCGAGGACATGGTCCCGAGTATGAGCGCGTAGAGAGTGCCATTTGGCTCTAATTATTTTATCGCTACTGTAGAGAAGCAGAGGACACAAAACTCACGCTTCAATGTTTGTTCCAAGAGAACCAGAGTAGATTAAATCCATGTTGAAAAGCATATCGTAGGTTGAGGTCCACTGGGTCAAATTGTACTGGACTGTTGCATCGGCTGCGTAAAGAATGAAACTGAATTAGGGAGATTATATTCGAGCCAACCTGGTCGAGTGAAGTTGTTGGGGAAACTAACCCAGCACGAGTTTGTTGAGCATAATCCTGTCCCAGGGTCATTTTGGAAAGGACAGACTGTACAAATGCAGTAGCCTAGAAATAACAAAGTTTTTTTTTTATTTTTGCGAATTGTAGTGTGATATAAAAGACGTTGTCAACAGTTGACGAGCTCAATTTCGTCTGAGAGAGAGTTAGGAAGTTCGAAAATTTCCACGGTATGACCTTAAAAATATCCTGCCATAAGACATCAACAAAAAATAGGACGAATTAACTTAGATTGATGTTAGTTCGATGATGTCAAATTTATTCAACACGAGAAAACTCACGCCATCGAACCCAGGACTGGTCATGGCGTAGGAAGCGTCCATGAGGAAGTAGATATCGAGCCAAATATTCTTATCCGTACACTTGCACTGATCGATGTTCGAAGGTGGTGCTGCGGTCGTAGGATTCCATGGTTGGTTCATTGAATAGGTTGGTGAGCCTGCGGTCGACGACTGGCCTGTTGGATAGTTTGTTGGTTCTGGAGTTGGCTGGTTTGTTGTTGTTGAGCTAGCGATCGGCTGGATTGTTGATGATTGTGCTCGGCATGACAGGCTCTGCAAGCCTGGAAAAGCAGCTAAAAGTAACCACAATAACAAAGGCTTTTTGACGTGAACGTCATTTCGGGCAGTCAGAAACGGTAGGTATGCTGGGTGAAATGTAAATTTGCAAATTTGTGGTGATGCTGGCAATTTCGGGGTGAATTCGTTGACTTCGTAGGATTGTCATTTAATCGACAACTTTGCAACGAAGAAGCAACCTTTTAATAATCTATCCTTCACAACTTCTAATAGCACAGCAGGTCAAAACACTATAAACTATTAAAAAATAAAAAAAAACTCACCTAAAAGGATACAAGTCGCCAGAGAAAGGCGATACATTTCAGTTCTGTGTGTCGACGGCAGTTAAGCTACTTTAAGTAGAACGAAGACATTTTCGCCTAAACGGCGATAAACTTTACGAGCGATAAGACATTGCTCACTGTCACCATTGTAGGAAAGCTTTCTGACATCACCCTACTGTAAGAGGAAACCTTCCATCGTAGTGAAATCAATCAATGGGTAGATCTATCTATGAAGATTTTGTTGCCTCGAAAAAAAGCCAAGCCTAATTGTAACCAAAAGAAAACCTCACCTACCCCATACACTCACCTTCCAGTCTGACGTGCGTAGGGACCGAATCCAAATATTCATAAGATTTCCGGAAAGTTTTCGCGAAGTACAGGTAATAACCAAGATTTTCTGATACTGAAATTTACACAGGACAAATCAACAATGAGAAAAAATCTTCTTCTCAATGAAATGTATGGTGCGTCTCAAATATAACCAATATCAGGTATTACTCCATCATATGGAGTGTTTATATGTAAACTTACAGTGGACGCAAGAGATCCAGTTGTCCTTGTAGGAGGACTGGGCAGTTAGAAGAAACTACAAAAAAATTTTATGAAGCGTTTAGATGCGCCATGTGTTTGATTTCTATACAGATCAGTCGGATTTTTTGGCAATCGTCATATGTGGTTAGTAGATTTCTCTCCTTGACATTTAGCATATGAACCTCGCCAGGAAGCACCCAAGTTTTGCGGGACTTTGTTTTTACAATAACCTATTTCCATTTTTGAGTGCAAATCCCCAATGTGCAAAATGAAGTCAATAACGAATGTTATTCCCGTCTCGTCGCAAATCCGCAACTTTGACCGACTTTTGAACGTCACGTTTGATGAAGCAGCAACTCACAGCCGTTATCATGGTATGACCGTGGGCGATCGAGTTTTTAGAGATAGTGTCTCGTTGCATTTCCGATCGTCTACGAAGTTCTAGGAATCGACTTTCCTGCTTTCGGTAAACACCTTTTCTCGAAAAACATGATTGCATTTCTCGAAATTCAGTGATCTTTCTGGATTCACATTGAAAAAAGGTGAACTCGTTATAACAAAAGAACCGGTATCAAAAACATTTTGCAGGAATAAGTCCAAATCAATTCCATAGCGGGCTCTCGTGATAGACTAATATCACTTAGAAACAGAAGAATAGAAAAAACAACAAAATAAAGCAGCTCCTTTCGAGAAAATCCTTAAGTTTTCAAACTAATAAGTCCAGCGGTGTTGACTGGTCACTGAACAAGAGATTTGCAGAATTGTCGAACTTCATTTTCAACTTCAAAGCGATCGGAGAACTACGATCGCTCAAACGAGGATTTCACGATACCATAATGGACACATGCTTGAAAGAACCAAAACAGAATGGGTACGTTCAAAGTAGCTGCGTCCTATCGCCTAAGTCAGCGACAGAATTATGTACTCTGCAGCCCGTTGTCCAAGAGCTGCGTGTACTGTTCACCCGTTGTCACAAAAAAAATTAATCAAGGAAAAATTAATCGTTGTTTATAAGACAAGTCCATTGTTTATGAAAAGAAATAAGGCAACCAGTATCTACTGATTACTTCACTTTCTACAAATCAGAATTGCCTTTACGTAAGTATACCTGAACATTTACTTTTGATTGCGGATGAAATGGAGAACCTATCGATGTAGATCTTTGCATCTAAATTCCTCCACTTCATCTTTAACTAAGCCAATTTTGACTCAAGACAAAAGAATTAAAATGCAGTTAGTCAGATAGAAGGGACATTATGTACTGCGACATTTTCTGTACAGCAGATGCAAAACCAACACCTTGCCATAATTACACGCAGTCACTTATTTACACACCGACTGGCAAATTCAATGAATGAATCTTAGGAATAGCTGAGGAAATTTTTCTTACCCGTAACACCATGGTGCTGAGGTGAAGCATTAACCGAACAAATGGTTGGGTATGACACAAATGTATCACATTGTTAAAGAAATGTTAAAGAAACACTGTAACTTTTTCTAAAGTATCCCACAACAGCACAACTGAAACCTTTCTTGTGATTTTAGGGAGAGAACACGAAGTAGCTTTATTGACAAGGTAAGAAATTGTAAAAGTGTTAGGTGATCAGGGAAAAGTACGATCAAATAATGGAACTTTGCAAAATATTGTATCACTATATTTTGACACTTTACATTTTAAATGAGGTATACGTACAAACATACACCGTACAGAGTTAGACAAGGCCTTAGGATTTATCGCAGTTATACTTTGCAAGCGATTAGGACCGATACATAATGCGGAAATTAGTTAATACTCAAGAAGTTTCAGTGTAGTTGCAACTACACACATTATAACTCTTTTTTAGCGAAAAATTACAACAGTCAAAAATTCTTGCAGCTGTATGGACTAGAAGCAAATCAGAATATCACCTGAAAAATGCATACAGTGAGAATAAAAATTAAAAGGAAGTAGGGAACGATGAATCTATTCAGAACGCTCTTCAATCGAAATGAAATTGAAGCGATGAACTTTAAAAAATTATAATCAGTTTGATCGTTGAGTATAGTGTGCATGGAAACCGAGTGGTATTCTTGAATGAGGGACCACGAAGCGAGCCTGCTCTTCCAACGTTTCAGCGTTTAGTATGACAACGTACGGTACATCTCCTTCTCGACATGTGACGACCGGGACAATCAACACTCCTTAAAGATGGCGCTCACTTTATTACATGCAAAAAAANAAAAAAATCCTTTTATATTATTTTAAACAAGCAGCATTTACTCGAAAGGTCGTAGAAGTACCAAATTGTAATTGTTGAGCGAAAGAAAGCTAACACATCAAGAGAAAATTAGGCGCGCGTTTGCAACGCGTCTAAACTAGCCTCCTAGCGACTGGATAATCAGCATCAAGCAGTTCATAGTTTTCGCAACCGGAATCCTACTCAATGAACGCCTTACGATAGAACTTTTTCAATTTTTGGGAACGACTAACCTTCATCCTCTTTGGAATATCCAGGCTTGTTCACCAAAATGGGCTCACCACATAAGTGATCTGCAGCATCCTTGGACCACAATTTGAAAGTATTATCATTTAGGTCGACTTTGACCACCTGGAATTCAATATTAACAACACGACACTTTGAGGCAGCCCTAGAAATAGTACTAGCGAAGCTCCACAAAGTGACAGTCGCAATCTAATGCGTGCAGATGCGAGCTGGCAACCGCACCCACCTTTTGCTGACCGCTACCAAGAGTCCTCGGAATCTACAACCCAAGGCAGCCTTGAATTTCTAGAAAAATGGCTAAAAGCGTGATGTATGAAAAGAAAACCTACCCCATGCTTCTCATTTTCTTCGTGCACAAGGCATGAACCATACACGTATCGATAATCACGCATATTGAGATCGTAGCAGTAACGCGGGAACTCAAGAGCTTAAATGAACGACAGCAAGCATTTTGGCCTACGTATTAGCTCGAGGTTCTGGTGTAGCAATTAAAACCTACATATGTCGCACATTTTCATATCTGTACAATGAATACTGCCGTCTTCTCGAAGAATGGCCTTGCAGTCACCAGCGAACCCACATGAAGACAGCAAATCATCACCTGGTCTACTTTTTTCGCTCACATTCAATGGAACGATCATTCGGTGTAAGTGAGGCTTGAACCCAGATTTCTGAAACGCACAGTAGCTACCAAGTGATCTTTTCAGCAAGCTATTCAAGATTCCTTAACTGAGGGTAGAACATATTGTGTTCGGATTAGGTGCGGAAAAGTAAAGGACAAAGAGCGGCGACTGTTGTTATCCCAAAAGATAGAAAGAGAAAGATAACCAGAGAGAAAAACGAGCAAGGGAGCGGAAGGACGCAGTGTTCTGCATGTGTCCTGGAAGGAAAGAAAGAAGAAAAGATATGAGAAGGAAAGACACGAGTAAGAAAAAGAGATCCTTCAGGAGCAACTAAGCAGGTATTAAGGAGAAGAAATCGGGGATGAATGCGCAGCACTAGCGGCGCTTCCTACCGTTTTTGAGGGAAAGTACATGCTCTATAATTAGACTTATATTTCTCATCGTTATCTGCAATCTGAAACCAATAGGGACATCGAAACGTGAGCCGTCAAGCATACCGGTGAACGGAATCCTCCAGTACGCATATGTTCCAGCAGTAAATCATCAAAGTTGCCTGGACTCATAATTTTCGCATAGTCAAGAACGAGGAAGCCATCTTTCTCATAGGAATTCGCGTGGTGGAAGGTGAAGAAGGCATCCGATGTTACCTAAAATATGTACAACCTATTGGTATAATCAGCAACTAAACCAGCTACAGGGTCAAGTACGGCGTCGCGGAAAACAGATTTTTTAGGACGACTATTTGAGTTCAATCGCAAAAAGTTTTCAAATGTTCACCCAAAATAACACCTCCGCTCCAACTAAATTCATTCCTTCACGGGTTCAGTAGAAAGACAGAATTCCTTTTTGCAGGAATTCCGAAGTACAATACTGATAACTGAGACAAGTATTTACCGTACTTTTCGTTCTACACGTTTCCGCTTGATCCTATCGAAAATGATCACATTGACACCGAGGTTCTCGTCCCAGTACATACAGTCATTGAAAGACATGGACGTTATTTGCCTAAAAAATACCGAAGTAATGAACTAACTAGTTTATTGCTCTCAGTAATTCACGTAAATGGACGTATACGTCTTCAGGGAACAGAAAACCTAGGAGGGTTTTTGCACGAAGAAATTTCAGCGTGGACAATCAGCTCCTACAGTAAACTGACTACGGGTCCTGGCTCGAGCGACCCATAGTCAGATTACTGTGGTTACACTGTATCATTTTGCTTACGATACAGTACAACCCCACTACTACTCCAGCCATCTGCACCGCGCCATTGCAACAGGCTCATTCCGATGCGTCTTATGTATATGTGACAGGTGAGGATTTGGGAATTCAGTCAAGGCCAGACTCTGAAGGAAAATTCATATGTTGTTTGTAAAATTTCGCGTCCACTGCATTTTATTTCACAGAAAGGACACTGTGAGAGCCGGAAATGTGTCACCTCGTGCGTCCGAGGACGCGCGCGGCAAATTGCGCGGCGAAGTCGTAACGATTTGAACGACTTTAGCGCCTATCAGTGGGGCCCAAATTTGAAATAAAGTAGATTAGAAGGATCATTTTACCCTACTAAACTACTCTGCTTCGAGTTTCTGCCCTGGAAGTTGGTGTCAGAGTCGTACAAATCGTCACGAACTTCGCCGCGCAAGTTGTCGCGCGCG